AAATTTTACATTTTTTTGCTTTTTGTTTAAAATTTATTAATTTTTTAAAAAATTACCGAAACACGTGTCTAATGAATTTTCACCTAGTTTAAATTCACATTATCAGAATTTAGCTATTTATTATAGTTTTAGAGATATGGCACATACCGGTGCTTAGCTACATAAGCTGAAATCTATAAAAACTAACTATACTAAGTTATACGTCCCAGGATTCCATGTTTCTCATAAAATTTTTATTGATCTAGATCAATTAGTTATAGAGATATTAAGCAAAAACCAGTTCGCACCCTTCTGTCACAGACTTTATAATACTTAATTATTTGAATGGTATAATAACGTTATAATTGCTTAATAGCTAATTATTTGATTATTTTAATTATCTATATTATATAAACTACTAATATAAACGTTTTATTAAACAATATTATGCTTACAAATAATAAATAATATATTGAAAATATCATCACTAATTATTATTGATTTATTTTTAACTAATACTCTTATATAATTTTTTCAATTATAAATTAATTTTAATATTAACTATCTAACAATTTTAATAATTAAAATAATTAATAAATTATCATTAATATATCATTTAACAATTGATTATTTGATTATATTAATCACTTTCCGTGATATCTAATAAAATGTTTGACTATAATATCTGATGAGAATATTATACAGTATTTAACATGTATTTATAATAAGTGTCAAATCATGTATCAAATAATCATAGTTTATAATAAATTTATAAATTGTAATTATTTTAAAAACTTAAATATACAATTAAACAATAAGGCAATACTTGTTTTAATAAGAGATTTAGTTTATATACAGTATATGTAAATATAAGTAATCATTTCCTTATTTTGTATTTTTAAGTATAAGTTATATCAAGTAACCGAGTGCTCAAATTTATTATTTTAAAAAGTTGAAATAAACAATTTTTCCATAATAATAGTGTTTAATTTTAATTTAATCTATACATTATAAAAATATTTAGGCTAACTTTATCATTTGTTTAATGATAGAATTATATTTTTTTATTATATTATTGAAAACTTATATTTTGTTTATAAATATTTATATCATTATAATGAATATAAAATTAATAAGAATATAGTTTTTTAAAAATATATTAGTTTTTGATAAATTGTAATAAATTCAGATTATTTTTAAATGTTATATTATATATTACAATAAATTTCAATACATACGTATAAAAGATAAACAACATTCAACTAACAATACATATCAGTAATGTTAGGAATTGCAAAAATATAATAATAATAATAACTGTATGATTACTTATGATACATATATGGACAAAAAATGCACATTTCTTATTGTTATATACTCTTATGAATGATGATAATGTTAAATAATCATATTTATAAATACATCATACATTTTAATCATTTAACGCGATAACTAAAATTATCGCAAATATAAACTATTATTTACATATTATATTTGTTATTTTTATTTACAAATAAATCATAATATCATTGTTATAATTTATCATTAACTTCTAAAAGGAGTACAAATCTGAATTCTATACTGAATTCTATATTTGTGTCCGTAAATCCATTTTATAATTTGAAATTTTGACTTCAGATTTGGATAAAACATAAAAATAAGATATAGAGGATGAGCATCAAAATTGTCATATTTATTTAGGATAGGAATGGCGGCCAAAATTAAAATAAATATTTAAAAGTTTAGATTTAGATAAAACATTAAAAAGTAATATTAATTGTTATTAAAAAAGTTTTGTTCTATATCTTAGTCATTTAATACCTTACATGATTTGACACATATATTATTGTTCATTATTAGTGTAATGTAATTAAAAAAGTTATAATATTAAAGAATATTAAAACTTTTATATCATAAATTTATATACAATATTACATGATTTAATAAATCAATTTATATGGAGTTCGTCTGATAATGCTTTCTAGCATTCTCTGCTGGTTTTAATATAAATTGATTTAATGTATTAATTTGCACCATGGTAAATTAGAACTACACAAGAAAGTAAAATCAGTGAAAAATTATTATAAAAATTAAGTTTAAATATCGTTATTACACTAATTTTCTGTAAACTTAGAAATTTTTAGGTTAAATATCAATCAACTATATATTTTTCCTGTCAATGAATTAAATAAATTTAGTTATTTTTAACCAAATCAGATATTATTATATATTCTATGTCAATTTAAACTCCTAATTTAATTTAATATATTATACATTTCTTTATATATTAACTTTATATTAACTATTTATTAATTTTTTTATTTTTAAAACTTTTATTATATCAAGATTCTCGACATTGTTTTAGTTTCTAATTTATTTGTTATTAATGAAAGCTCTCAATTTTTTATAATGTAATAAAAAGTTGTTTTAACAAGTTTTGTAGAAATTTTATATAAATAATAATAATAATTATTATTATATTTTTTAAATATTTATTTTAAAAAAGTTATCAGTTAAATATAATAGATTTTATTTAAAAAAGAAATATACTGTAGTATATAAACAAAAATAATATTATATGAATTATTAACAAAAATCGAGTCTTTTGTATTTTATTAGTTGTATGAATTGCATTAAATATAATTATGTAATGATTTTTGTTTATACATGTATTTTTAGTAAAAATATTTATTACATATACATGTAGTATAAAAATTTGAAAATAATTTTTTACTTGTTTAGAAAATTTTTCATATTTTTAGGAAAATATTATTAGAATAACACTAGTAAATATTGAATTATTTTTAATAATTATATTTTCAAGTACTTAAATAATAAATTAATATTCTAGCTAAATGTAAATTAAGAGATTGACTATTTTTATATTTAATTAGTTATTTATTAAATTATATAAAGGTTTAGTTAAAGGAATCAAAGTTAATTATAAAATTTTGTATAATTTAAACTAATTATTTTAAAAAATGTTATTATAAATTTATAATAAATGTAATAATGTTAATTGTAAAAATTTATTTAAATTGCAAATCTGCATAAATCATTTTGTGTTTGATATACTGTTTTTTAAGTAATAAAATCCAATTTGAATGAATGCATAGATATGTACATTGAATATATCATTATTTATTATTTAATATACATTATGTGAAACAGTAGTCTGAAAATGTATTACATGGAAGTGCTCTTTAAGGGCTGCCGTTTGAAAACATATTGAAAACTTCAAGTGAAACGGTTGTATAGTTTTTACTATACAGTACAGTATATTACCGAAACTGTCGATAAAATTTTCTATTATTAGAAAAGTTTGCTTTTATATCTAATCATATAAATCTATAGCATAAAATTTATTGTGTGTTTTATAGATATATTGTTTTTGATTTATATTAGATCTGAATGTACAACCAGAGGCTGACAGAGAATTAGATATAAATATATAAAACGTAGAAATTTTTATTTTACTGTCAATAAAATTGATTAATTGTTAGGTCAGAAGTTTAAATGAAGTATACACTACTCTAATGTTATATTTGTTTTTTACATTAATATTATATAAAGTATATAAAATGTGCTATACTTTGCAAATATGACACTTATTTACAAGACTAAACGTACAATACTTAGACACTTGGCATTTGTATTAATATTATTATGAATAATATGCACATAAATGTTAATTATATGCTATTTACCTTTAATTTAGTGATCTATCAATTGCTTATGTATTTCACACCTTTGTTTTGCATTATGTAAGCATATAATGTTAATTTATTAAATATTGTATTCAATATATGAGTACTCCAGTGATGTTTCAGTTATTTGTGTTTCAAATCACAATATCTCGTGTTTTGGTTATTAATCGATTGAAAATTGCACGCAATTTGTATTTCAAATGATTTGTTTGCCTTTTAAAAACATATCTCAATCTATATTACACTATATTATCGATGAGTGAGAATATCTGTTATTTTTTGTTGTTGTTTTCAAAACATATTTGTATAACAAAATATTAATATAAAAATCAATACATTTATAATTAGAATTCTATGTTTTTTATATAAAAAATAACTTATTATAAGCTTAAAAGTTAATTTTATTTTTATTATAAAATTTAGGATTATATAGTATTATAATATAATTTATATTACATAATAACTCAAGTTTAATTTAATTATTTATTTTATTTGTATAATACTTGTATTACATTATTGAAAATTTTGATACATTCAATTTAAATATTTTTAAAACTATGTATTATTATGCAAATATATCTGCAATTGATATCTATAATAATAATAATTCATTAAATATTTTCAATAAAATATTGTATTATTGCAAAAGATGTTAATATGTTAAATAGTAATCACTTGTTATAGATTATTGATGTCTCAAACATGATGGAGAAAACATAGAAAGCTATTTATATTTAATATTTTAGGCAAACCTAATGCTAAGAAATAGTATGAAACAATGATTTTATAAAAGAGGGCATAATTTTTCATCTTTAAGAGTATTGTATAAATCATTATTCTTGAACTGAAAGGCGTCTTATATTAAAACAAATCTTCATATTTTATTTCAATATATGTTTTATAATTTATTATTTTATGTTGTTTTTGTTTTTGAATATAACTTAAAATGAAAACCTATTGAATATGGCTATCAATTGCCATCAATGGCCAACCTTTTGGTTGACCTCAAAGACATGAATGACTGACTGGTTGACTGACTTATGATGAGATATACCGTACAATGCATGAAATCTTAAGATTTAATAATAAATGACAGAAATTTGAAAAAATGCAAAATACAAGACAAGACATGAAGAGCTGACAATAATTTTGAGTTTTTTATCACAAAATATCTGATGACTATGAGCTCCCAGTGCTCGTAGTCATAGATACAATGTCTTACGTCATATACACATACAGACACAGTGAGATCTGTAGCACCCGACACATACCATTTGGATACTAACTGTGCTGAGAGAGCACACACACACTGACACAGAGCTCACACACATAGCCATACAAACATTGGATGCGATATATTGTATGAAAGCATTGAGAGATAGAGAAATTGTTGAACGCTTTCCAACTTTTTGCTTATTTTGAGATATGAACTGCCGTTCAGTCAACACAAACACTATTCATGTAGTGAAGTAGTGAAGTAGTGAATTAGTGAACAGTTCTCAAGCACTGGTAGTTCATAGTTGATAAACACACCGACAAATTATTTTTAATAATAATAATTTACACCATTTCCCGGTTACCGGTGGTAACCAATAAAAAAGTACATCTGATAATAACAAACAAGTGGTTCGGCGGCCAATATGGCGTCAGTGGCCGCTTGGCTGCCATTTGCAAGAGCGGCCGCTATTGGCTGGGTTCCCATTGCCAACAATCCATTACCGGCGCCACCCATTTCCCGTCAGTCCCGAAAACGTGAAGACGAAAAGTTTATTATAAATGTGAGCGGAAGACGGTTTGAGACCTGGAGGAATACCGTCGAAAAATACCCGGACACTCTTCTCGGATCAAATGAAAGAGAGTTCTTTTATGATGAAGACTCTAAGGAATACTTCTTTGACAGAGATCCAGATATTTTTCGACATATTTTAAATTATTACCGCACAGGAAAACTACATTATCCTAAACATGAATGTCTAATGTCTTACGATGAAGAACTTGCTTTCTTTGGTATAATACCTGATGTTATCGGCGATTGTTGTTATGAGGACTATAGAGACCGGAAACGAGAAAACGCCGAAAGAATGCTTGACGACAGACTATCGGACAATGAGAATCAAAAGGACGCACCAAAGGGAACAATACGGCAACAGATGTGGAGGGCCTTCGAGAACCCGCACACCTCGACAGCCGCTCTCGTCTTTTACTATGTGACCGGATTTTTCATAGCAGTGTCAGTCGTGGCCAATGTTGTTGAGACAGTTCCCTGTACTCATAAAGATGGTAATCCCGACAATAAAATATCGTGTGGCGATACCTTTAAAGTTGCGTTCTTCTGTTTGGACACGGCTTGTGTTATGATCTTTACGGCTGAATATCTTTTACGTCTTTATGCGGCGCCCTTTCGCTGCAAATTTATGCGCTCAGTTATGTCCGTCATCGATGTGGTTGCTATAATGCCCTATTATATCGGACTATTTATCAAAGACAATGATGACGTGTCCGGTGCTTTTGTCACCTTAAGAGTGTTCCGAGTATTCCGTATTTTCAAGTTTTCCCGTCACTCACAGGGCCTCCGTATACTAGGATATACCCTAAAGAGCTGTGCCTCAGAGTTAGGCTTTTTGGTGTTTTCGCTGGCGATGGCTATTATTATCTTCGCCACAGTTATGTTTTACGCCGAGAAAAATGTCTTCGGAACCACTTTCACCAGCATTCCGGCCGCTTTCTGGTATACCATCGTCACAATGACTACTTTAGGGTAAGTCATGTCTCACATGTTTTTCAACTCTTGTAATCATTATTACCATTATTTATATTATGATTAGTTAATATATTAGTTTTAGTTAATATTTTTATATGCGCTATAATATTGCCAATAAAATAAAATAATTTAAAACGATAATAATGCCAATTATCTCTCAATTAATATTTAATAAACAAGTTTATATCTTTTTTGTTTAATTTAGTTATTTACCGAAACTAACATATTTGAGAACTTTATATATGTATTTATAAGTGTATATACAATATTAGACATTAAATATCTATTTAGGGAATCATAAATATAACAAAACTACATTAATATTGACAAAATATCCTAAATTATTGACAATTTATTGAGTCATTCATACATTGTTTACATGTTTTCCTTTTGTTGCACTCATATTATTGATGTGTTGAAAGACATTTCATAGTGATAGACATGAAACTTCATATAGACATTGATATTACAATGTTTTAATTTATCAATTATAATATTTCAATTTCAACCATGCTTGTTTTTATAAATTATTATGTAAAAACTATAATAAAAATTATTTTTATGTTTAACAAAAAAAAATATTTTTCAAATTTAATTATTTGAGATTAAATGACATGAATTTTATAACTCGTGATATTTGAATACGTAATTGTATTTTACATATTTTGCAATTTAAGCACATTTTGATTTTATTTAAATATCATTTGAATATTACTATTATTATTATTATTATTATTATTATTACTAATGCTTATGTTTCGTGAAAAATATAAATTACAGTTATATTTATTTAAAATATCATAATAAATACTATAAAATAAAGCTTAATACAGTTTATTGAATTTGTTAAAATTATTTTTAAAAGCAAAAACAATTGATATAAATTATATTGTTTGCTATGGATTTACACAATTTTTAAAGACAGTAAACATTATCTATGTTTAATCGGATTAATTTATAAGAAATATGATCGCAATTCTCTTATTCTTAGGAAAACACAAATCATATTTTACAGAATATTCTTTACTAAAACATATCAATATTGTATGGAATATATTGTATGTCAAGAATTTAACTCTTGAATCTTTGGCTTTAAAACGTGAAAAATGACTTTAAATGTGAGCTATTTTTACGCGAAAAGCTAAACACATTTTTAGTTTCATTTGGTTATTGTATGTATTATACAGTTTGTGTGTATAAGAGATGGCACGTAACACACAAATATTTTATGTCTCATTCAATCATATAATATCATTATAATATATAGATATTAGTAACTGAATTCATTCAAAAGTGTAGATATATTTATTAAAATATAAAATAAGTTAAAAATATATACATATTTTTTATTGACGTTTATATTATAAATGTGTATAATTTATCAACGAAGATATATAATTAATAACATGTAAACTATGTTTATTTTATTTAAAAATACTATTTTAAAAGACCTTAAAAACGATGTTTTTTTGGTTCCATAATAATAATGTGAATATAAATATAGTGTACGTATAATACTTTATATTGTTTAATATACTGCACTGTAATTTTAGGTTTGTTATCAATATAACATTTACTTTTATAACAAACTAGTGATAGTACTGTTGTATATAAAATATAAAAAGATTATAAACCAACAAATATTTTAATACTTAAAAAAATTTTAATATTAAGTTCTTTGACTCGAGTATTATATTGTAACATATATACAGTTTATATAATAAATTAAATCACGAGTGAATTATATTTGTCACATAATAAAAATAATGGCATTTTATGCACTCTTATATTATTAGTTTATAATTATACTCTATATTCATATTATATAATATATTGTATATATTTAAACATTAATCCATTTAAAACACTTTCTGTCATCGATAAAACTATTGATTGCATGACTAAAGAAACACATAGTGTGTATGTTTAATATAGTATGTATTGTACATATTGTGTGTGTTTATCAAAATTGTTATATAATATTTGTTATTTAACACATATATGGTGTGCTAGATATGCCATATGTACGCATTTTTTATATATATTAAAGATAGCATATATGTACTTAATAGACCTCTCTCTCTCTCTCTCTCTCTCTCTCTCTCTCTCTCTCTCTCTCTCTCTCTCTCTCTCTCTTGTGTGTGTGTGTTTGTTATGCAATATACAGTATAATATTATAAAAATTTTTATAATAAACACCGTATATAATGTATTTGTTTTTAAGATATACAATGCTTAATTAAATTAAATAGTTTTTAGTTAACAAATTTATGATATTAACGATTTTAACTTAATGTCTATAAATATATTTTAAGTTATATGTTTAATAGACTACAGTATATTTTTATTGTATTGATTATGATCTACTTTAATATCATACTTTTATAATAACAATTTTACTATAAATATCCAAATGTTTTTATGTGTATTAATAAAATCAAAAACAGTATAACATATAAAATATTGTTATAAGAATTCAAATAAAAATGTCTTCCTTTAGTATGTTTTATTAATTTTTGTTTACTTCAATAAGCATATAATATAATTATGAAAAAATATTTTTTAAAAAGTTTTGCTTTTGAAATTATATATTAAGTGTATGGTATCAAAATTTGAGAGAAAGAAAGAAAGAAAGAGAGTAAGAGTGAAAAGAGTGATAAATTACTTTTACTTATGGTATTCACAGTCTTAAGTTACACTCTGATACTGTGTTTTAATCAAATGGATCAACCATTTTATGGTCTCTTATTTCTAATTAAAGCTAAATTTATCCTCTCTCTCTCTCTCTCTCTCTCTCTCTCTCTCTCTCTCTCTCTCTCTCTCTCTCTCTCTCTCTCTTAACATTCTAACTCTTAATCTGATATAATATAATATTTTAGTAAAGAAAGGATATAACACATATAAGAGAGTCGTTGGAATTATGATAAGGTTTTCACACATTATTTTTGTTGTTTTGGGACTAAAACTTTTTTCATGTCATAAATTTACGAGATTTACACACAAAACGATGCTTTTATTGAGAGTTTATATTTCATACACTAACACATACTGTAATACAATGTACACATAAACATACAGTTATAGATATTACTTACAAATCATAAATATACCTTATGTTTGTACATTGAAATAAATAATAACTAAATGAGAAAAAAGTCCGGAAATGAAAATCGGAAATTAAGGTATAGTTAAACACTTAAGATTATAGAAATGCTAAACAACTTATAATTGTCTTATTATAAAACACACCTAACAGACGTCCATACATTTTTTTATTATAATTAAAAAACAATGACAAAAACGTAGACCATTTGTTATGTAAATCTTATAAGTTATAAAACTTTTAAAATGTATTTTTGTGTAATCATTTTATAATTTTATATTAATTAAATGATAAAACATTTATTTTTGGACATTTAATTAAATATTAATATAATTTTATTTTTTTATTATATAAGCTTGAGTATCAATAAATATTTAATAATATTGTCGAGTAAACAATAAAATTATAATTTTTTAAATAATTAGTTTTAATAAGTTTTACATTTAGCTATATTTTAAATATTTTTTTTGTTTATTTATTATTTTATTGATTCTCTCTTTCTTTCTTTCTCTCTCTCTATTTGTTTGTTTGTTTCTTTTTTTCTTATTCACTCACTCACTCACTCACTCACTCACTCATTCATTCATTTACTCATTTGTTCATATAATATATCTAATGTTTTTATCAGATTATTTTAAATAAATATTTTAGATATGAGAATATTTAATATAATTTTAAAATATTATTATAAATGTATTATATAAGCTTTGCTTTAGATTTACAGTTGAGTGAACTTAAACATTGAATTTATCAAATAATTTCAATTATTGAAATTGTTAAGCCGTTCTCTTGTCTAACAATAGACTTATTTTTATAATTATATCATTAAATGTAATATAAAGTTATAATAAAAATAATAATATAAAATATTGATTAGACATTAATATTTCAATATATCTTCAATAATTCAATAATTTATAAAATAATTCAAATTTTCATAAACAAAAACATTTTAAGAATATTTATATTTTACAAATTATATATTAATAATAATATATATTATAATATATTATAGTAATATTAAAATTTTAAAATATAGAATATTGTAATTAAGTAAATAGTTTTTATTCTTAATTATTAAGATTATTTCTATCAATATATAAATAAATTTGTTTTTCAGAATTTAATACTATCGTTAGTAATTTATCTGAACTTTTGACATTTTTGAAATTTATAAAATAAGTAAATTTTTATATTAAATATTAAATAATATAAATATAACAACTCAAATATTAATAAATGTGACCGAGTATGAAGTGCTAAGCACAGGGATATTGTTTAAATTTGTTTGCAAATAAATCTCATATTTAAAATATTTTATCACTTTATTGCTTTTTAGGTCTTTATTTATTTTAAAGTTTTATTCTTTATATGTGTTAATTTAGCTATAAATTATCTATTTGTTTATATAATTAATTAATTTCGCATTTGATTATAGTGAAATAAATAAATTTTTATAGTATAAGATTTAATAAAAATAACAACAACAAAACTAATATAAGACACAAAAAACACTAAAACAGCAATAAAACGTTTTTAACTTATAATATTTTAGAACTTTAACAGTTAGGAGTAAACAATAAAATCATAATATTTAATTTGATTTAATAAAATTTTTAAAAATAAAAAAGTTTTAAAAATGTAAAATATATAAATAATTTTTATAAGTACAGTATATATATATACTATAAATATTATATTATTATAGATTAGTTTCAACTAAAGTACTCGTAGAGTTCATTTAAAATAATAATTTAAAATAATATTTAAAAAGGTTAATTAAAAAATTAATTATAAAACAATAAAAAACAAAATAGATATCATTATATTAAATAAAAATAATTATTCACTATTATAGATATAAAAATAATACAAATGTTATAAAATAATTAAA